TTTTTTGAATCAGCGCTTTTTTGGATATTGAACGTTTATTTTGTAACAGATTGTGCAACTACAGAATTGTATTAGTGTGCCACTGTTTTGCAAGTACATAATACCAATTTGACACACTTCATCCCATCCTGGATTCGATAATTTTATGAAGTGCAGACTCATGATTTTCTTTCTCGCATATGTTTTGCAACTGAATGAATTAAAAAATGAAACAAGTCAGAATAGACTAGTTGCGTTTCTTGATCCTGGTTCGCGCTATACAGCTTATTTATGAGGATATGACAAACGCACCGTAATGGTTGAACGTACTTTAATTCAATAATTTACACTGCAGTCTGCACATCTTTTTACGGAAGTTTTCACAGACATCCTGGCCTCTAAATAGTTTTGCACTGGTGCAACATAAAAAGATTCTTGCTCTCACCCTCGTTGCAACGCGTTGAATACTTCTTTCTCATAACTCCACTTACCACACAACCTATTTCGTAGCATTTATTGAGAAATAGGATTTTTTTTTGTACGAGGGAAAGAATAGGTTTTATAACAATAAATCGTGAGGACGTATAAGTTTAAAGACACCTATGACAAATGCAAGCTGGAAGTTGCAGGGGAACACCTTTCACCTATTTAACACAAGGGCAAACGCGTGCACAAAGGACTTGGCTACAAGTTGGCAACTTATGGACAGAGATAAAGCAGGGCATTAAGTTTAGGCGATCTAATTTTACGGGAATTTGGAATAAGAAGCGCATTTTTTTTTAAATTATCTACGTTGTCATTGTGTCAAAAAAATTAATTCTATATTGCGCAAAGTCAAAATTAGCAAAGAAGGATAATTTTTGACACATAGTGTTTATAAAACCAATAAATAAGAATAATGTAATGTAAGAAATAAAAGTTTTAAAAAATTATAATTTCTGGCATGTTTTTAAACAATATTTGCTTTTCTAGTCTACGATGAAGAAAGTTAGTAAAAAACATTAAAAAATTGTTACAATATTTGTAATAAAATCTGACTTATAATTATGTCACCTGCAAGTGTGGGCATGACAGAGTAAAGAATTCTTTCATATAAAAAGAGCCACTGTGTTAGCTTAATTAAACAATTTACCGGTACAATTTTTGTTACAAAAATTTTTGATCTTGGTATGGTCTGGATGGACAAATTCAATTGTTATCTGCCAATTTCCATCTATTTCACGGTCATCATCGTCAAAGCAACCTAGGGGGACTGAGTCGGTCTTCAAAAAAAATTTGAAACCATCTATTAAAACTTACATATGTCAATGTCTGGAGATATTTAAAATTGTTTTGCCCTGATGATCTTGACGAAACAATGGAATTTGTTCATCCAAAACATACCAATATGCAAACTATTCGTGAGTAAAAAAGTGGTCAATGCATCTAACAATAAATTTTTTTTTATCATCACTCAACTTTTATAACGCTCTTTATACTAATTTTCAGTCTATAATTAAAATCGCAGCATCTATTCAAAACAATTAAATAAGGATTATAAGACTCCATCGAAAGGTGTGCAAAGGGATTTAAGTTTTAGTTAAAACCAACAGATAATTAAATTCGTTATCCAAGAATTTTAGAAAATTATGGACAAAATCAATATTTTTAATTTTAAATAAAGTCAGGACAGATTTTGATAATTTATACGGTGATTCTTGAGCAATAAAATAAGATATAAAACAAAACAGTTGAAACGTATCGAGAAAATAGTTGATCTTTCACACCAACGGCCCTGTTAATATTATTTATCGCCTGTCCTTGATCAATAAAAATATAAAACACGGCCTAAATCAAAAGAGCGTGACTTTCCATTCGACACTACACATAAACCAACAATGAAATATATAAAAAAAATGTTTATTGTTAAAAAAGAGCATGGTTATCCGGCTGCAGCTTGTTTCCACTCTCTCATATTTTATATGTATTGGGGAATGAATTTAATAATAAACTAAGCCTTGAGAAAATCAATTAAAATAAAAACACATACTGACCATCTGTTTCAAAGAATTTAACTTTTTGATTCCTTAATAAGGAAATAATTTTCAAACTGGTTTTTACTGGTTACTTGTGGTAAATTAATAACTATCAGTAATGTTACGTATTATTAATAATTATGTATTACATTATATCTTATTATGCCAAGCAGGACGCCGTTTCCAGGTCTCCTGAGAAAAATCCAAACTTTTCGTAATAAGTTTTTTAAAAACTTGATTATGCCCATTTTTTAATCAGTGACATTAAAACCAATACCTCATGAAATATTCTAGTTCCAAACGAACAGCCATCAATAATTGTTTTATAGAACGTTTCAAATCAAGAAAGGTGAAGAGTATCACACCAACTCAATCGGAAAGGAAACGAGGTATGTGAGAATGGTGTATCAACTTCCACCACCCTGTAATTTCATGCATACTTTAAATTATTGAGCTGTCGCATTGAACCTCTGAGAAAATGCACCGAGTGACTCAGAGGACCACTTCCCGGAAGCGGTCACAGCTTCCAGCCTGTCGTGTGTGGCAACATGTGATTAATAAAAAGATGTTAACAAGACGACTCGCTTGGTTGAAGAATTGTTAAGGATTTTACTGTATTTTTCCTTTGTTTTGAAATCAAAAGTTTCCTGTAAAACAGTGCATTGAAAATGTCATTTCTTTACATTTGAAGGAAATTTTATAATGAAACCATGATCGGGTGACAAATAGTTTCGAATTTAGTTAAGGTCCTTTTACAATTTCCCATACTTTCCAAATCGACATTTGGGAAAAAAGCAAGATTTCCCGTAAACCCATTAATTTGATTGATTTAGTTTATTTATAGTTTTGCTTTTAATCCTACTTGGAATTTTCCAACCAGAAGAACTGTGCTTTACAAGCAGAGTAAAGGTCATTTCCTTAATTTAAGTCCGACTAATTCTCGAAGTACATTAAAAACTGATAAGTAGCGTCAGCTCCAATATTTCCTACGTTCCTTTTCTAGTAAACGAAGCAAAGAAACGGCATAAAATCATCCATCGTTAATCCTTAGCTAAAGATGTATATACTTTAAAACTTTTTTAACAAGCAAACCCATCAAGGTATTTTCAAAAAAAATTAATAAAGACCATTGAATTATCATGTACAGCCATTGATTTTAACTGGTCGCTGTGTATAATTAATGTAAAGAAATATAATTGGATTCTCTTAAGTTAAAAGTATTCAAATCTAGTCACTTACTAAATTACCGAACTAGTTTATCAATTGAAACTGTTGAAAAACAACTTATATTCGAACACATAGAGCGACGTATTAACATGAAGAATATTGTTTACATACACACACAGAAGAAAGAGAGGGGAAATGAATTAATTGACTACTGCTTTAGAAGGAGAAGAGGTAGATAATATAGTAATAAGTAGTGAGTGGGTAAAGTAAGTGGAAAAGAAGGCAAGACGAAAAATGTAAAATGAGAATAAGGTACAAATAGAGAAAGAATGAAGAGGTAGGGAGAGAGAATGAATTTATTTGTTTTGTTAAGTAAGAGGAAAGTAATAGATAAATAGATAGTGAGTGAAAGAGAATGAATGAATTAATATTATTTTATATAAAAAATATAAAGTAAGATATAGATAGATAGATAGATATGAGAGGAGAGGAGAGGAGAGGAGAGGAGAGGGGAGGAGAGGGGAGGGNCCATACATGATTGCTTCCAATTCACGTTTACTGAAAAATTATTACCATTGATGGTCTAATTTTGTCAAATTACCACTTTTTTTGCTATTGAAACAATTTTAACCGTTTAATAGTACAAAGGGTGAGTAGTAAAAAGAGCAAAAACATAATTTCAACTTCGGGATATGAAATTCTTGCTAAACCGGATCTCATGACTAGTGCTATCTTGTTCGTAGTTGCATCATTGGCCACAATCCACATCCAACTTTCTACTGCAGAAAGAAGGCTGCCAAAGGACCGTGAAAAACAAAACAAAAAAAAACACTTTTTCTTTCCTTTCCGACGAGGAAAATTTTACGCCCTATGCTGTGTACTTGTCCAAATCAGTAAGAGATTGACAGATATGCTTTCCCTTTTCAATCTAGCTATGATTCATCCTAGGGTAAAAAAGCCGGGAAGAAATAATCAGCCAAGATTTGTACCCAGCTCTTTATAATCAATTCTGTATTTTGAGTTCAATTTAGGATTAAATTGAAAATTACTTAATGTTATTTAACAAAAATAAAATAACTGTACTAAATGCCTCCATGGGCATATTGGATGTCATGCTTTAAATTTTTTCTAGAGCTTTAGCTTTCAAAATGACAATAACACAATAAATAACTCGTACAGACTGTGCAAGGCAATACAATTAAAGACCTTCTGCTCCTTTTAAACTTGGTAATTCGGCCGTTTAAATTAGTCACTAGAATTCACTTGGGGTTGAGCAAGTCAACTACATGCACATATCAATCAAATGTTTATCTATTCAAAGTCGCATAAAACGTCATTTTGCGTTGACAATCTAGAAAATTCTATTTTGCCCTTTGTGGATTTTTTTAATTGCAAAGGCTAAGAGCGTAAACGTCCTAAGATAAGATAAATCGCTGAATTTAATTTCCAATTTGAATATAAACAAAGAAAAGACGGGTTGACAACGTTTTAACATTATTTTAACAGTAATCCAAATATATAAATTTGGCAACATACTGCTTATTGTTTAAATTACTGTAAACAATCTAGGGACTTGCTATTACCGTCGGAATTTTTTAAATACAGAACATGCTTCAAAACAAATAGACTCCTTCAGAGAAATACAAAGATGCCGCATTCTTTTAAAGATCCCGAAGCTTTCAGAACATCCTTTTTAACGCTCCCGGTATGTTTTTAAAACAAATTTGCCTGATAAATATAAATTTATTGAGTATAAGACTTTCGAAATTTTTATTACATCTTAATAAATCCCTAACCATCTTATTCGTTCTATTATATTATTTTAACTTATAAGCTTACCTGATGGAAATTCCAAACTAGGATACTTCTTGGGGCGAGGGAGCTCTCTCGGATCTGTATCCCTCGTGTAATAATTGAAGTCCGAACAAGATTCCATTTCATTGTTCGGAAGGCAATCCAAGAACCCCATGGTCTGTTTATCGCAATTAAGAAAAATTTATTTGAAAACAATCACAGTTTTGTAAAATATTTCAATCTAGGTATTATAAGACTCACCCAATGTTTAAGCTTATCGAACATATTCCGATATAACAGGATTGATGTAGGAAACACAAGAACTTTTAAAAAAAATCGAGGATTGAGAGACGTAAACTAAAGTACGACTATTGTACAACTGAGCGTCCGTGTATTTGTAGTAGTTTTTAAACGTCAACTGTATGCTTTGGATTGGACGGAGAAAGGTCGGCATCAGCGCATGAGTCATGGCTCATGCCCCTACTACGGCGGTACCTCGTGTCCAAAGGGATGAATGAAATCCGATGATTCGTTTCTTTATTTATTTGGACCATGGAGTGCATCACAAAATTTTGTCTAGGTTGTAGAAAGAGGTATTGTATTGAACGCTCCCTGGTCTACGTTAAGAGATTTTTTTCTCAAGACAATCAATTCCTTAAAAGATATGTTGCCTTATTCGATGGAGAACTGAATATTAAATTCTTGCTTTAATTTTGCTTTCGCATTTACTCCAACATACATTGAAAAAAATAAATAAACAAAAAATAAAATATTTCATTTCTATTTGAAAAAACAGCCAAAAAAAAAAAACGCACAATTTTCTTAAGTACATCCTGCATATTGGTGACAACCCATCTTCACTTTCTGCTAGCTTCGTACAGTTTACTGACCTCAAAAACTATGTCAAACATGATGCAATCTATGAGTCAATATTTAATGTTTTTGCTAGGTACTAATACATAATTTCAATAGCTTAAGTTTGATGAAGAACTGAAAAATAAGTTTATATATACCATTTTGTTTTTACAAAATAAATGTTTCACGAGGAAGGAGTACAATTTGAATAATTATTAGAATTGAAAAAAAAAATGTAGTGTACAATGATCTCATTTTACCTTGTTCAATTTCTGTATATTAGCCCAGCTCTTCTTCTGTTTGAGCAAGATGTTCTACCCTACAACTTATATACATTACAATGTATGAGTCAATTTTTAATTTTTACGATACAGACTAAATCTATTATTGCATTTTAGGTTAGATTAAATGTAATGTGTCATTTTGTTTTTACTTTTACTAAATTTGATGTTTCATAGAAGAAAAACAAGACATCATTAGTCATCTCCTACACAGAATTTCACTACTTAATCATTACATTCAAGTGAGATGTTGAACTGAAAAAGAAGTTTAGTGTGCCAGTTTGTATTAACTATTATTAAAATGTACTTTTCATAATTTAAGTACATGATGACTTTTTATTTTGATTTAAACATAGGACCTGGATGGGCACAAGTTTTCTGATAAACTATTCTTGTATATTTGTGGCAACTTTCGTCAGTTACAGCTTGTTTTATGCCTTCCAATCATTCACATTACAATGTACGAATCAGTATTTAATTTTTACGATAGATGCTGAATCTACTGAATTGCATTAAGTCTGATCAAAAATGTCATTTGCTTTTTTAGTTTTACTAAAATAGACATTTCATAGCAGAAAAAGAACAGATATAAACAAATCAATTTTCTCATGTTCAATGAAGGATTGAAATATAAGTATAATGAGCAATTTGGGTTTTACTTAACTTAGTGGATGTCATTCTGTCATTTTAAGCCTATATTTCAGTACTTGGTACTTTTTGTACCTCCCACCTATACTACACACATTACGATGAACTCATCAATCTTTTAAATATTAATAGTGATGTTTTACTGATTGCTGATTTATATATATCTTCAAATCCCTCATACGCTCCAAGGAAAAGCTTCTAACAAATTATAGATTATGATATTTCATTTCTGAACACCAATATAAGTTGGATAAATTCCACAAACAGACTGATATATTAATATATAATGTATAAGTATGTATGTGTTTGGATCATATTATTTTTTATTGTTCAACATTAAAGAAAGAAGATGTTCTCCTTCATCAAAATGGAAACCAACAATAACGTACTGAAAGAAAAGATTAACAATAATCTTTCTGACTTGAGCTCAGAACTTGTTAGGAGTTCAAACTGTGTAATGAGAACTTCTATGGATCGGTAATTGTTATAATTGTAAATTTTCTTTTTATTAATATGCAGTATTGATTATGTGCAGACTTATCATGGTTAAAAGAATACACAATATCATGTTAGATGTAAAACAAGCTATTCAAAATCCAAAAATTTCAAAAATCAAAATAATAAAACCAATTTGGTCCAACTGTCAATTTCAAGAAAGGTGAGGCATATTTTGTTAGTAGTTTAAAGAAATTGGAAAAGAGTTTTGTTGATTATTAATTTAAATATTGAAGAATTGCTACTTTTTGATCAGGTTTTAAAATAGTCAAAATTAATTTATAGATTGTATTTAATGAAGACTGGAGAAGGGCTTAAATTTCAGTCAGTACCATCAAAAACTGGATTGCTATTTCTCATAAAGATACTATCAAAACTGCTTAAGCTTATCAGTTTTGGAAGTTCGGTCACCAAAAGGTAAATTTCTGTTTTAGTCTTTCTGGTAATTTATATTGCACAAGTCAAACAGGCTTTTATTAATAGTCTGCCTGCAAACCCTGTTATGTAATTGTGTACAAAAAAAAAGTTTAAATAAGTGTGACTAAACTGTTCCATCGGTGATGATGCAGTCACAATTGTAAAATGGCTAGAAAACATCACTTTTGTCAGTTTGATATTCTAACATATAAAACAATTTTACAAACAATTTGTAATTTAATATACTAATTATATTACAGTTTTATATTAAAAATCAGGGATTAGGTCAATTTGAAAGAAAAGTTCTTCGATCAGTTCCTTCTTCAAGCTTTTGTGGAATTTTCTCCATCAGGACTATGGTCGATCTTTATGAATCTTGTAATTATTAATAATAGTTTCAAAGTCCTAATGAAATGAATATCCTTGAAAGTTTGATGAAGGGGATATATTTCTCAAAAGCCTGAGCTTCTTTTATTACCAATTGGTTTTATCCCTGAAGTTTTGTACAATTGCTTTTATACAAGAATCAAAAGTTATTTTTTTTAAACAAAATTGCAAATAATTTTTTACACCATATGTAGTTATTCTTGAAATATTATTTTTTAAGGGAGTTTTATTATCAAAATATCGCAATCATTAAATCCATGGATGAACTAGATAACTCATTGCAGTTTATAAGCTCTCTTCTCGATGTTCCTCCTTGGGATTTTGGGATTCTTTCATCGTCTAAAGGTATAGTTGCTGGTTCTTTGAATATAGCAACCAAGTCAGGAAACATTGATTGTTCAGGAGGTGAAGGTGATTATACATTTCACAATATACTATAAACTAAACACTGTCCATAGTCCTAACAAAATTTGTGACTTTTTTTAATAAATAATTTTCAGAGAAACTTTCATAGAACACAATTTTGACTTCTGTATTTTAAATTTAAGCAATTCAATTTTCCATAATCTAAATAGGGTACATTTACAAATTTATTGATTTTTTAAATTTTCAATCAATACTATTTATGAAATTGAATTAGACAAATGTGAAATATCAGATATAACTTTTTAATCCTGAAAACAGGTGTACTTATTCCGAACGACTTACCTTTTGGAGCTACCCTTACCAGTTCAGCTAAATTTGCATTGGTCATTGAAAAGTATGCAGCTTTTCAAAAAATTATTAACGAGGAGTTTCTAAAACACCATGGCCCATGCATCATTATTACTGTAAGTATTATTAGTGATTAATTATCTCTGTTTGTAATAAAAGAAGTTTAAATTAATTTCAGGCGAAAGGTTTTCCTGATCTCAACACTAGGATTTTATTGAAACTTATTTCTGTTCAACTTTCTGTTCCAATATTTTCCCTGGTTGACGCTGATCCATACGGTATTGAAATTATGAGTGTATACCGTTTTGGTTCTTTGGTAAGATTCATTTTCTTTCCTTTCTTTGTCTCTCCCTTTACTAACAACACTATACTTTTCATGTTTTTGTAAATTAAGTCTTTAAAAATTTAGTCATAAAATGTTTTAAAAACAACACAAATATGCATAATAATTTTTTTCTGGCTGTTATTAATGAGGTAGGTCTTAATCATGTTATTGTTTACAGTCATACGTCCATCTGTGTGACATATTGGCGGTCCCTTCTATCAAGTGGATTGGGATACACCCATCAGACATTACAGATTTTTTTCCAAAAGCACAAATTATGTCAACACAAGATGTTAAGAAAGCAAACAAACTATTGACGAGACCTTTTATTAGTGAAAATGAAGCTCTTAAAGATCAAGTATTTATTTGATATAAAATGGTCTTGCTTTTTATTTATTATTTTGGTAGTGAACATTTTTGATTTCAACATAAATGTGCACTTAACTATTTTAACTTTTTTAAAGTTAATAACGTTATTCGCTCATGGTCGAATTTACTTTATTAATTTATACTACCGTAGGTAAAACTGATGATTCAACTTGGGTTGAAAACTGAAATTGAAGGAATTGGAACAATATCAAATTCATATCTGACAGATGTTTACATCCCCATGAAATTGGCGTCAAAAGGGTGGATTTAAATTTATTTAATTTTTATTTATTTCGTGGAAAAAATTAAGTTTAGAAAATAACAATAATTAAGTTTTCATGATAATTAATGTTAAATGTCAAATTTAATGTTTCATCAGCATTTCACTGATAATTCATCAATTCATATTTACGGAATTGTAAAATCAAAACAACTTTATTGAGTTTCTCTTATAATTTCTAAGATTTCTTTTTTCTAATAGTTAAAAGTTTAGTTGTTCATTATCACTTCTATATTTATAACATTTACAAAAATATATGTATTTTGCCTGTAAAAATGTTCTCTGCTTGCTATTTAATTTAGTTGCGTTTTGGTTGGTTTGTACTTCAAAGTGGAGATAGCTCTGGTGTCACTGCTATAGAGACAAAATTATTTTCAGGTAAATTTAAATACTAATTATTTATGTCAAATTTCTAAAGAACTTTATAACTTTTTTAATACTGTCTCAAGGCCTAAATGACCAGTAGGGTCGGAAAAAAAAAAACCTAAATACACATTTTTTACCTATAGTAAAGAAAAAATTATGAATTGAAATTGTATTAACATGTAATTTTTTTGTTATACTTCGTGAAGGTTTATTTATAGAAATATATTTATGAAGAATGAAAGACATGTTTATTTTTTATGGTTGCAATGATGATATTCATCCATGATAATACCATGTACGTCCTTATACATTATCTCATGCAGAATGTTGCTTAATTCTGTTAGTTAATGTGAAAGAATTGCTTCTTCTTTTATAAACAATTTATACATTCTGTGTTTATTAATGTCAACCTCTTTCAGATGTCCATTCCATCTGAAAAATTCTTTGTAAGAAATTTGTAGAAATTTCGAGTTTCTCCTAGCTTCATGTGCATTTATTGATACATTTGGTGAGAAATTGCCAGGCTATTGACATGTTGTCTTTCAATCTGAAAATATCAGTGTATTTCTCCATTATATAAGGTTTTTGTCAGAAAGATGTAGCATTTCTGTGTAATGCAGGAGTATTTGAATATTAAATTGCTTCTTCAAGTTTTTTTTCCTGGAACGTAATGTGGAAGAACTTTATTTTATGTTCTCCAATTTTTAGCATAATTTTGTATGAACAACATCTATGAGCTGTTCAAATTCAGTGCACTGGAGTTTTCTCAATGTGAAATGCCCTTACATTTATATCTTGTGTTCAGATCAAATCGAGCAATTGTGTGAAAAATTGTAATGCTCATAGGTTCTGAGTTTTTAATTTTGGTTTCTTTTCACCTCTTATGTCCTGTATCCAAGTGTACCATCATATTGTACCACTCAATAAAAGGATCCACCATTCCCACTTCTTTTTACTACTTAAATGGGTTTGGTTCCACTTGATTTTGATACTCATGCTTGTGTTGTCTTTTGAAGCAAGTATTGGATCATGGTGGATTGTTGGCCAATTCTAAGTTTTAATTCTCGTGAAGTTTCTCCCTGTTTGTTTTGTTTGCAGCCCTTGTCATAATTTAGTGAACAGAGGTTAATCACAGTATTTTCTTCTATGATACTTCTAATGTTTTAAAGTTCTTTTGTCTAGTTGGCTTGACACCTTTATAGGTCTTTTGCAAAAAAGTACAGTTAACTGAAAAAGTTAGCTTGTCCGTTGTTGCATATTTTTAGAGAATATTCATATTTGCAGATGTTTTCAAGAAGGTTGTTCAAGAAAACATTTATAATTTCATAAAAAAATTAAATATTTTGAAAATTCCAAACTGTTACAGTGAAATTTTCTGAAAAAAGATATAAGTACGCCAGATTCCAAGTAAATTACAATTTTTTTGTTATGCAGATCTTAGAATTGCACGTATTTAAACTGTTTTTCCTGAGCAATCAGGAGTCAAGACTGAGCCGGTCCTTGGCCTACAAATCGTATTTAATTATTGTTTCTGTTGGTATGAAAGCGGAGTTTGTCATAATTGGGGGTTTAACCAGTGGCTCTGCTCTCCCATGTTCGAAACTGGTTCCAGATAAATTCCGAGGTATTAGATCTGGTGACAAATATATCGTCCTTGTAATTACCTCAGCACTTCGCAAGGGCAAGGCTGGATTATATAATACGCTCATGTACGAGTAAGACTTAAAATCTTACAATTTCAATTATGTTCCGTCTCTATTCAATGCACTTTTCAATTACGAGAGGTAATTTCCTGTGACGTCCTTGTTTTACAGCAACGAAAGTTTGATCCTTTGAAACGAATGGCTTTCCAATCCAAGGCTTTGGAAGTTGAGGAGGAAAGCCAATGACTTCGGAAACCATCTCTCTCTGACTCTTTTTTGGTCTGATTTTGGTGTTGAACCAAAAAATTACACTAAAAGTGAACAATTTAACTTATTAATACTGGCACCGTCAGTCTCATTCTTGAAAAATGGAATTATTTAAAAAATTCTGTAAATAGTTGTACATCAAGTAAGTCTAAGAATATTTTGATAGACTATAAACGGTTTATGCTCTTATTTCGTAACAGATCTTCTGAAGTATTATGCAATGGAGTCCCAATGTTAATCAATAAGCTGAAAAAAACAAAAGCATTAAAATTAATTTCATAAGAAAATTAATACACCCGCACATTTCCCCTCCTCCATAAAACCTTCGACATATTAACAATAAATCTCTATTGAAGACTTGTAGAATAATAGGCGATAAACCAAAGTAGTCCTGATCGATTATTAAGAAACCGGCCGAGCTAAATGACTTGAAACTTGTTTTTCAAGGCAGGAAGTATTGAACTAAACTAGGTATGAGCCACTCGAGGAAAAACCCTTGTTGAGATCGATAAAATATTTAAAAAAAAATTGATTGTTTGCTTGTGTCTATACAACAATTTAAAATCTGCTAAGAAGAATTAACAACATAATTAATTAGCAGAATTAATAACATTAAGAATAAACAATGTGAAAACAAGATTCCAGCGCACACAGGAATCCGCGGTAATGAGGAAGCCAACGCAGCAGCAAAGAACGCTACAAACAAAGGAACATCTCCATGGTCTCGAAACATGACATTGGCCGAATGGGAAGAACGTTGGAGGCGTTCTACTAAAAGTCTTCAAACTAAAAAGTTCTTCCCAACGGTTGAATCGAGGTTGGCAGCAGAAATGAAACACCACCATATGCTTACCCAACTTATAAGCGGCCGTAGATGAACTCGAGAATATCTCTGTAGATTACACATAGCACAGGATTCGGGATGCGTCCATGGGACCACATCTTATTCGACTGCCCCATTCAAGAACCACGCCGAAAAGCTCTTATAAGGCTTTTATGTATTTAAAGGTGGACAATGGCCACCAGACCATCATATTTTGCTAAAGACCACATTGAAGCCTTAATTAATTTTTATTTAGAGATCATGAGATGCGGTCTGGTGTTACGTAGGTTTTAGAAAAACATTTCCTTTATCGTGACAATGATTCGATCTTTATTGAGATCATCTTCTGAATATGATCTCAATAAAGATCGAAACGTTGGCACGATAAAGAAAATTTTTTCTAAAACCTACGTAACACTAGATCTCATTTCCCGATCACCAATAATAATCTTAACTAACGGTCACTAAACACCATACACACACGCACGCACGCGCACGCATGCACACACGAGCGCGCGCGCGCACGCACGCACGCACGCTAACACGTAAATAATAATTGTATATGGATATGAATTCCCGAAATCACTGGGATCAGGTCCAGATTCCACATAGCACAGGATTCGGAATGCGACTGTCCATGGAGACCTCGACAAACATGGGACCACATCTTATTCGACTGCCCCATTCAAGAACCACGCCGAAAAGCTCTTATAAGGCTTTTATGTATGTAAAGGTGGACAATGGCAACCAGACTATCACATTTTGCTAAAGACCACATTGAAGCCTTAATTATTTTTTATTTAGAGATCGTGAGATGCGGTCTGGTGTTACGTAGCTTTTAGAAAAACATTTCCTTTATCGTGACAATGGTTCGATCATTATTGAGATCATCTTCTGAATATGATGGCCTTACGGGATCTAAGGTTAGAAAACTAATGAAAAGAAAACATTAATCATTCATCGAACCATAAAGGATAATGTTTTAAACATGTTTAAACCCCTCATTAATCTCGCGAGTATTATAGGTAATCCATTAATTGAACCTATAATACAGGTATAAAAGTAATAAAGTGGTATAAAAGTAATTGTTGTGACGTTTAGCCGGCTGATAAATTTTCACTCTTACGAAGAATTTTTTCGCATGTACAAACAGATGTTTGAAAAAAAATTTAAAATATTTACGATGCTTAAGTCAATTATCGCAGTAGCAATATTGTACATACCGCGGCTCGTGGTAAACATCCGTTGAAAAATGGGAAAACGGTTTTACGTAATCGCAAAAAAAGATAATTTTTTTTCTTTCTTGCACAAGTAGTTTTAAATATTTGATTTTTATATTTTTTATTTATTTATTTTTTTATCTTGAAAATTTTGGATTTTGATCAATGAACAAAAAGTTGTCTTCATCTACTACCTTGACTTATAATATAAAGTTTAAATAGTTTGAAACCTTTTGATTGTCACTAAATATATAGTACATTATTGTCACGTGGCCAATGATATTTTTTGACATTAGGGATTTTAAAATTTACCTATAAGCAATAAACGGTAGTTTTTCAATATTTAGTACAGTTTTGATTCAAAGTCAATCAAGACTTTTGACTCCCCTGACTGATTTTAATTGTTGTTTCAATTTAAAATTTCATATTAGAGAATAACAGGAAACCTGAACGATTTTGATGTTATAAAAACTATCGAAACATCTTACATTATAATAACAAAATTACCTACTTTACATGCAAATAAATAAGCATTTGTATATATATAATATATTTTAATCGTAAATATATAATTAATCATTATTAAATTTATTCGCTCGCTAACAAAGACAACCCCTTCGAGGTAGTTTTAAATGAAAAACGTGTGTTTATGAAATTTTTCTTTCTTGAAATTCTTCGTTACGCAACAAGGAATACATTTACACATGGTCTACACTTTTCTCAACGTCTCCGCAGTTTTTAGAAAAGTTTGCTGTTTTGTCTTTTCTAGCAAAGTAAACACTTGAAAACAAAGGAAAAATGTGGTTCACAGCATGTGTGTTAGCATGGATGCAGTTTAATTTTTACGAGTCGAAATGTTTATTTAAATATTTTAGCAACGAAAGGAGAACAATAAAATAAGTTAAACAGAACAATATGTGTATTCCGTGGATTCTTTGTACGGTGTCTTCACTGTTGTCCACAACTTGATAATCAAGAACTTTTTTATTTTGACTTTTGAGTTGTTTGCACATTCACTGTTCAAATACGAACAAATATCAATTAATGTTTCAGGAAAGGCAGATTTTTGAATTTATTTATTTTAACAACAGGCTTAGTAGATAGTTCACGTGAAAATAAACTAGCCGATTTTCATAAACATACGTTAAACAACAGGGTATAATAAAAATTACTTGTCTAAGTGGTATTTAGAAGAATTTTGTAACAAAAATAGATAAA